CACGCGGCCCGTGTGGCGCACGCCTGCGCCCTCCCCCTGTCGCAGGTCGCTCTGCCTGCGGCGGGCGTCGTCTACGCGCTCTACGCGCTGCGCCTCGGCGGGTTTGAGGCGCGCACCGACTACGGCGCGGTCGCGGCCGCCTTTGCCGACGCCCAGGAGGGCGCGAACAACGCCGCGCGCGCCATCCTCGACAGGCTCAGCTAGTCTGCTCAGTCTCAGAATTCATACGAGCTACGATGCTACTCGATCGGATCGATGGAGACGAACTCGCCGCACGGGTCGTTGCGGGATGAGACGCCGAAGCAGAGCTTGGGGGCCCATTCCTTGACGTTCGGGCGGGCGAACGCGTACAGGGCGTCCTCGAGCGCGGGCTTCCAGGTCTGGGGAATCGGCGTGGACACGGGGAAGTGGCGCTTGTGCAGGCTGCACACCGTCATGGCCTTGTTGCGGCGCTCGCAGTGGAGGCAGCAGAGGATGAGCCCGCACGGGGCCACCCACCAAAAGTACGTGCCGCGGCCGGCCTTCTTCGCGACCGCGCACTCGAAGTCGGGGTGCTGGAACAGCCAGGGGGGCGTCGCGTTCACGTGGCAGCGCAGGCGGCGCAGGTACTCGTCGGTGCAGAACGAGCCCTGCTGGCGCCCGCTCATGGCGAGGCCGGACTTGGGGTCGTCCTCGTGGCGGTCCTCGTGCACGACCTCGAGGGGCACCGGGACGAGGCCGAACTCGCGCAGCCAGCCGGGGCGCATGAAGTAGCCGACGTGGTCTTGGGGCTGGAACTTGCCGTCGCGCACCGCGCCCCAGTCGGTCGGGTCGTCGCCCTCGCGCTCGATGATCTCGTTCGGCGTGAGGGGCCACATCTGAGTAAGCGCAGCGGGACTTAGGACGTACGAGACTTGTGAGCTTGTGCTTGTGAGCTTGTGAGCTTGTCGAGCGAGAGATGACGAGTGAGACTTGTCAGACTTGTCGAACGAGAGACACTGACGAGTGATGAGACGGCTGACACTGACGACTGACACTGACGAGACTGCGTCGATCGGGAGAAAATAATATTAAATCTATTCGGTCCGCCACTAGCCACTGAGACTGCATCGCGACTAACTACAGCACGCCTGGCTGGCACGTTTGGCTGAGCAGACTAGCTCGCTCTGGCTACATGCGATAGAGGGTGCGCAGCATCTCGGCCCCGGTGGTCTTGCCGAGCAGGGCCGCGATGAAGAGCCAGAACGCCTTCTCCTGGCGGCGGAAAGCAGTGAGCTTGAGGTCCCTGAGGTAGAAATGGCCGGCGTTGTCGAGCGCGTGGATTGCCGCGAGGCCGAGGATGACGCCCTCGTCCTGCGTGCCCATCAACGGGGCGGGCGTGTGCAGGTGCTCGAGCCCGAGCTGCTCCGCCACCGCGATCGAGGCGTGCAGCGGGGCGCCGATGCGGGTGAGCGTCTTGTCCGAGAGCAGCAGGAGGCAGCAGGCGTTGCGCGTGCTCATGACGACGAGCGTGCGGGGCCTGTTGCGGCGGCGCAGCTGCTCGCACTGGCGCCTGAGGGCCTCCTCGATCACGCGCCCGTCGGGCGTGAGGGCCGCGTGGCCGAGGTCCGTCTGCATCATCTGCAGGTCGCCGTCGCGGTACGCCCCGCAAGCCGGGAGCAGGCGGCTCAGCAGGAGCAGCGTGTCGGACCCGTTGCGGGGGAGGGGGACGCGCTGGCCGACCCACTCGAGCAGCTCCTCGAGCGGCCAGGCGAGGTCGACGTCGACGTCGACCCAGCGGTGCTTGCCGGGGAGGTCCGGGACCTCGCGCGAAGGGCCTTCGACCGCGACGCCGTCGTCGTCGGCCCAGGTGCTGTAGCCGATGGGGATGAACGTCGGGAGGCGCGCGAGCCTGAGGATACTGCCGTGGCGGCGGTACACCGCGTAGCGCTCGTCGGCGGTGGGGATGACGAGCACGTCCTGGTCGCCCTCGATCGTGTCGGGCGGGTCCTTGATGACGACGACGCCCAGGTGCGGGCGCATCGTGTCGCAGAGGAGGGTGGAGGCGAGCACGGCGGGAGTATACTGGTCGGTGGGCCGGTCGCGCACCGCTTCGCAGTGCTCGCAGAAGTACCTTATCGCCAGCATCGGACTATGGACGACGCCAAGAACGACGCCATCCTCAAGAACGCCGGCCTCGCTGGCATCCAGCCCGAGCACACCGTCCCCCCTCACGTGAAACAGTTTGGTACCGTCCTCGCGCCCGCCGAGTTCGACGAGGCCTGTGCCGTCCCCTGTCCTTTGGCCGTCGAGAACGGCGTCCCCACGACGCTCTTTGCCAACTTTGCGCCGCGCTACATCTGGACCCTCCCAGACTCCGACTGCCTGCTCGTCGCGCCGTCCGCGATCACCAACTCGAGCCTCTGCGTGCTCCACCTCCGGGTCTGCGGACCCCTCTACACCGAAGAGACCCCCGCTATTGCCGAGCCGCCTCGAGCCGCCCCAGACGCTCCAGCCCAGCTCGCTCGCCGCCGAGCAGCAGTTCTACCTCTACCGCGCGGAAATCAGCCAGCTCAAGGCGCGCGGCGTCGAGGCCGCCCTCCGCGAGTCGCTCCGCGAGGCCCGTGCGCAGCGGGACGCCCTGCAGAAAGCCAACGACGAGCTCCGCGACGCCCTGCATGAAGCCCGCCACGGTGCCGCTCGCCCGCTGGGGGCGCCGGGTGCAGCCGGAGGCGTGCGTGCCGGCGCACCGCCGTCCTGAGGCGGCGGCGAAGGCGGGCCTCGTCGTGTGGGAGCCGGTCGAGGGCATGTTCGCGTACGACCAGCTGCTCGCGGTGTGTCTGGTCGAGGGGAGCCGCAGCGTGTGCCACGAGGAGTGGTTTCCGCGCTGGCTCGCCTTGGACGGGGAC